AGTTGAGTTTAAACCTGTTGTAAGGTTAAATAAAAAATTAAATAAAGATGTAATCATTTTTAATATTTAAAAAGAGTAATTGTGTTAACAGTACTACGTCTTAAAAAACGTGTAAATACCTTTAGATAAAGGTATTTGAGTTTTTATAAATATTGACTAACGGACTAAGTAGTTTGAACACATGCCTTGAATTGAAAAACCTATAATTTATAAATAAATTTTAGAAATTTATTTTTATAGTTAAAATTTATAAGTCTTTTTAGTTATAATACAATTAAAAAGGTTATACTAAAAGAGTAAATTTTAATTTTTTTAAAGTGGTGTAATTTTAATTATTAGTATATGATGAATTAAAGAGTAATTGTTACCTTATAATAATAAGGATTGGTATAAGCCTTTTAATAAAAAATCTATTAAAAATAATATTCATGAAAAGTATTTTTAATAGAAAAGGAATATGGCTTATATTAATTTTATGTTTAGGTTGAGTGGTGAAGATTTAAATTATTAATATAAAAACCTTTATAATTTTAAATTTATTAAAAATATTTAATAAATTTAATAAAGGTTTAAATAAATTTACCATCTCAAAAAAGATTTCTTTATATTATGCTTTTGATTTTTAAAGTCAAAAAGTTAAATTAAAAATTAAAATCTAATAAGGGGCTTTATTATTTATAATCAAAGTTAAACATTACCTCATTATTAATTATTATTATTAATATTATTAATTATAATTAATAGCTATCAATCCTAAATAATATTAAAACCTAATTCAGTTTTAAATATAGTAAATATAGTAAATTAAATTATAAAAAGTAATTTTAATTAGAATAAATTTAATAATTATTAGCTAATAAAATCAAAAGCTATTAGAAGGCATGGAACAAGAAGTATGAATGCCATAACAACTGGTAATAAAGCAGTTCAACAAAATACAATTATTTGGTCAAAACGTACTCGTGGGAAAGTTGCACGGAATCAAATGAAAACAAAACAAATGGCACAAGTTTTAAGTCCTAATATACAAGCTTGAAGATTTAAAAATGTATCGTTAATAAATAATTCAGGGAAATTGTACCCACCTAAAAAAAGTATAGATGTAACAGCACTAAATAAAACAATTGAACTATATTCTGCTAAGAAATAAAAAACAAAAATAATAGATGAATGTTCCGTAAAAAACCCTGCTACTAACTCTGATTCAGCTTCTTGAAGATCAAAAGGTGTTCTTGATGTTTCTGCTAGTATTGCAATGAAAAATAGTATAAAAACAGGCGCAAGTGGCACAATAAATCATATTGCTTGTTGTGCTTCTATTATTTTTGTATAATTAAAAGATCCTGCTAATAAAATTACTACTATAATTGAAGAACTTAGGACTAATTCATAAGAAATCATCGCAGCTGAAGCTCTTATTGCTCCTAAGAATGCATACTTAGAATTAGCACTTCATCCTGCAAATAAAATACCGTATACTCCTAAAGATGAAAGAGTTAAAGTATATAAAACTCCCATTGAAAAATCGGATATAACTAATCCTTGACCAAGAGGTATAACCCCTCATCCTAATAGGCTAACAACTATAGCAATAATAGGTGCTAAATAAAATAATACTTTATTTGATGAACTAGGTATAACAGTTTCCTTAATAATAAGTTTTAAAGCATCACTGAAAGGTTGAAGAATTCCGTAGTAACCTACGGAATTAGGTCCTACTCGTCTTTGAGTTGCAGCCAGTACTTTTCGTTCAAGAATAGTCATTCAAGCTACGGCTAATAGAATAGGCAGTATAACGGCAAGAGATTCAAGTAAAAAGTATAAAATTTGTAACATTATTTAAAATTATATTGTCTATTTAAAGACAGACGCGTTAAAAGGGCGTCTTTGGGTCGTTGATTTATTTTAAATATAACTCAGTTAAAGTTCTTTTTCTTTATAAAAAAATTAATAGAACTTTTAAAAACAGAAATATTTAAAACACGTGTTATCAACTGGAATTAAGGATAGGAAAATAGTATATTTTTATACTATTTTTTAAAGATATAATAAGATATACCTTTTAACCTTTTATGTTAATAATAAAAGGATTAGGAAAATTGTATAGTTTAAGGGTTTAAAATTTGACTTCATCAATTATTATACCTTGCTAAATAATTTAAGCTAAGGTTAAAAAAGAATAGCTTTAAAATTTTAATTTAATTAAAATTTATTAGCAAAAATATAAATATTAAGAGCTATTACAACAATTAAAAAGAAAACAATAATTAAAGTATTAATAAAGAAATAATACTGTTGGAATGTTCTTCTTAATTTAATATCTCGAGCTAGTCTAGGATATTTTAATTTTTGTTTAAAATGAAATAATTAAAATTATAAAAATAAAACTATTTTTACCTACTTTTAAAATTTATAACAAAGTCAAAAAATGAAAAAAAGTGATAGGGATAATTTAAATTTAAAAAATTTGACTGCTTCAATTTACATACCAAGATAATTTATATTTTGATATTTAAAAAAGAAGAGCTTAAAAAATAAAGTTTAAACACATGATTTTGTATTATATTATGTTTTACAAACAAATTAAAAAATTAAGATTTATTGCTATTTCTTGCCAAAACAATAGGGCAAACCATTGCAAGTAATAATAGAAAACTACTTAGAATTAATAAAATAGAATAAGGACCATAAATAGATTGTCCTAATGTAGTAATTTGTAAATTTTTGTGTAACAGAGTTGAAGGATTTCCAAAAACACTATCATTAATTAATGATATGTTTTCATTGTTACTATTATAACGTTCAATAATGTGATAAACAGTACCAAAATCATTTTCAACACCACCTAGGTTTTGAGGATAATAAAGAGGGCTAAATACGGGTGATTGTGGGAATTCTACCAAGAATTCTGGGAAATAAGGTATTCCTAATCAACTAATATTTAATGCATAATTATGAAGAGAGGCTGAAGGTAACATAAAATTACGATAAGAATGCACATTTAGTCCTATGTCCACTAGATCTACTGATGTAGATGTGAATCAAGGAGAAAAAGCAGCACCTGCATAATTAACATTAGTTGCAGTATTAGCAAATAAAATGTTTACTCAAGGCTGGAATTCATAACTTGCTCCTCAATTTGCAGTTGTAGGGTCAAAATATGTAAAGTAAGCAGGATTAATATTATGTCACAAGAATAAGTTAATATTTTTATTTGAAGCTCATTGTGTGAATAAAGTATAAGGATCATCAGAATATCAACCTAAAGGAAATAAATAAGATGATAATTCAGTATTATTTTGAACAACTGATTGGAATGAACTTAAATTTTGAGCTAATTCAGAGTACACTGAAGGGTGGAAATAATAGAAACCAGTAGGATTAATTGCATCACCATTACCCACTAATGCAGCAGATAAAGAATTATTTAATTCTACAAAATATGGTTGATTGAAAAGATAATTTAAATTATAATTTTCAATTTGAGCAGTTTGCATAGAGTCTAGATTAAATAAATTTACATTATTTTTTAAACCTAAATTAGTAGGCAACTGATAAGTTAATGAATCAGAAATGAATAAAGAAAAAGAATCATTTCCCATATTTTCAGGTGCTCATGCTAAGGGGTGTAGAATAGAGTTAGTAGCACCAAATAAATTAATAAATACAAAATCAAAGCCGTCAAGAACCCGGTTAATTAAATTAATAAAGAAACTGTCACCTAAATTGGCAGAATTTCCTAAACCCACAGAGGCAGAAGAATAATTAAAAATTAATTGATTAATAATAGAATATATTTCTTTAAAAATAGCACCAGATGTAAAATCTACAAAAAATGAAGGAATTGTAATTATAAATAAGATTAAAAATAAAATAGCTATTAAATAAGCCAGGGGTAATAATTTACTATAGTTAGGACCTACTTCAACAGAAGAAACTACTTCAACGCTTAGCATCATAACAATAAAAAGGAAAAGAACAGTAATAGCACCAACATAAACAAGTAAATAACTAAGTCCAATAAATTGTAAACCCATTAAAATAAGGTAAATACCTACATTCAAAAATAAAATAATTAAAAAAACAATAGCAAGTACAGGATTAGTTGAAGTAATAACAGCCAATGCTGAAATAAGTGCAAAAAAAGTTAATAATTCTAAAAATAAATTTAAATAATTCATGTTAAAGTTAAAATATTAAGGTTTTTAATAAAAACCTTTATGCTTTACTATTTGTAATAGTATTTAATTTTATTTAAGTATAAAACAATAATTATAGTTATAATAGTACAATTAAGGTTGAATAAAAAATAATAAATTTACAAATAAAACCGCTGAACTGCTAAGAGTTTCAGCGCGTGGAAAGCAAAAATTTATAATTTTGACCAGCCAAAAAATAGAAAAAAAGAAAAATAATAAACTGGTCTTGCAAACTTGTAAACACAAATTTGCAAAGCAAAAAAAGTAAATTTAAATATTAAATCTGATAATGTGTACACGTTGCGCGCTGTTTTAAAGTAAAAACAATAGCCAGTACCTATATGATATGAATTATAGATTTAATTTTACCCCTATAGTTTATAAATATAGCTGTTATTAATTTGAATTTTAAGTATTGTAAGATATATTTTAATTAAACTATAAGAATATTAATATAGAGCCTTGTCAGAGTCGAACTGACTTTTAAAAGTTAAAGGCAAGCCTTTTTTTTTATTATAATACTTTATCCAAAAGGTAAAGTTAAGTTAAGTTATCCCGGGCTAAAAGCTCTTTTGTTATTAAATAATTTTAATTTTAATAAAATTAAAATTATTTATTGTAAAAAAAAAATTAAATAATTATTTAATTTTTTATAATAAAGTTTAATAGTTTAATCTTTTTTAATTATTAATTAATTTTGCCTGCTGCATAAATAATTATTTAATTTATATAACTAATATTATTGAAAATTGAAATTTAATGTTTAAGATTTAAAATAATAGTCACCTAAATAATTTTTAACAAGAACTGGTCGGATCGAACAACCCTTAATGATTTTGAAGATCACTGTATTAACCACTATACTAAGTTCTTCTTAAAATTAAAATTCTATATTAAACTGATTAATAAAAAGAAAAAGTAAAAAAAAAATAATTTAATAATATTATTAAGCTTTTAAATAATAGACTATTATCCATATTTTAAGTTGAAGAATAATTTTTAAAGATTGAGATTAAGATTGATAATTAAAATTAGTTTTTAATTGAGCCTAGTCAGAGTTAAACTAACACTTTATTTTAACAAAAATAAATAAATTGAAAGGTGGATCTTTTTTTATAATTTTTGTAAAATTAAAACTTTTTTTTTATAAATACTTGTTAATAATAATTATAAAATTTTATTATAATTATAAATTAACGTTATAATATTCGAGTCTTACCAGAATCGAACTGGCAACTTCCTCATGACGAAAGGAAACTTTACCATTAAGCTAAAGACCCTTATTAAAGTTTATAGTTTCTGTAACTAGGGGAAATTTTACCCTTAAATTAAAAGCCATAAAATTTTTATTTTTGCGTTATTTCTAATTTTTTTTAAAGCAGCATTTATATTTATTTCATAAATATTATTATTTATTTTGTTTTAATTAAATATTGTAAAAAGTAGCTTTTAAGTTGAGGTTTTTATATTATTATTGAAACAATTTTTTGTTTTATAAGTATAACCACTTTTATTTTTCGTTTAATTAAATTAATTAAACCAAGAACTGGTCGAATCGAACAACCGATTTTGATTTTGGAAATCAACGTATTACCGCTATACTAAGCTCTTTATTAGCTACGCCAATGCCTAATGCGCCACATAATTAAAATATTTTATTAGATCATACCTAATTTAAAGTAATAAATATATTTTATAGCATAGAAAAACTAAATTTCATACTATTCTTTAAAATGCTACTAAAATTCTTAAATAAAAGTTTTTAAAAACCAAAAGCTTAATACAATATAAATTAAGCTAAAAATTTATAAAAAAAAAACATGAATATTTTTATTAATATAATAATTAAAAAATATTATATTAAAAAAAATATATTTAAAACTATTAATGTAATTATACTTAATTTAATTAAATTAGTTATAATAGAAAAAATAAAATTTATTACAAAATTGATAAGGAATAATTAAAAAAAAA